GACCATTAATCGTATAATTGTGACTTTATTATATTTATTAATAAATATTTTTAATTAATTAAATATATGCATGAATTTTGAATTTTCAAACTATTTACTTATTTTTGAATTGGTGTAAATAATACACTTGGATTATGAATTTTTCCCTAAATTTTATCTTCCTAATTTTTTCAATTTCGGATCGGATTTATCGGATTAGATATCCAATAACATAGCAAATCAAATATGAATTTAACAATCAAATATCCATTGAATTATCGAATTGGATATGGACAAATCCGAATTATATTCGATCCATTTACAACCCTACCTATATATATATATATTTAGCTCTTTATTGTATTTTAGATTAAGTTAGACAAAACAAAACATAAAATCGTTGTAATTTCTCCATATATTAGTGAGATCTACATTACTCTATCACTTATTATATTCTTGAATTTGTGATTAATTACTTTATATTGTGTCCTATTATTTTTTGCCTATTATCGCAACAAATTGGTATCGAAATTATTTGATATTTTCTTCATTGTTCATAACAGGGAAAAAAAAAGAACAAGATATGCCTCGACTAAGAAGATGGAGATTAAAGTGATATTATGTATTTTCCTGGGGGATGGGGACGCATTTTTTTGCAACTTCTCATGAAAAGGATGGACAATAGATGATAAAGATTCTGAAATATCGTAGGGCTACCCTATTTTGATGCAGATTCTTGCAGCATTTTAATCTGAATATTGCCTTGTAGGAAAAGCCATAAGCATATATTTGCCAGTTGTTTTAAAAGCTGGGATTTTCGACCTTTTTTTGTTGAATTTCTCTAATTTCTATGTGTAGATAAGCACATATCACAGTGGCTCTTGGTCATCAACAATCAAAACTTTCATCTTGCCTTATAATCAGTCAACGCGTGGAGGACTTAAATGAATACACATAGTTCGCCTATAATCAGTTAAACTTTGAATTGAGGGAGTTCAACTTTGAGGACAAGATTTCAACACCTCATTGAATCATTTGGAACTAGTTAATACTAGAGTCTGAGAGACTGTAGTTTCAATTTTCAAAATACAGGAGGGAATCAATTTAGTTATGAATTATTCCATAAGATTAAAAGCAATATTTGATTGATCCTGATGGAATTATAGATGAGGTATTGATTCCACGTGAGAAAACCAATTGAAAGTAGAAAAACACGTTTTCAAGAGATTCCAAACAAGTCGAATATTTTGGCAAATCAGTTGGTACTTGAACAAATGACTGATGTTTGTGGAGTAGAATCCCAATTTAATCAACCAGGTTCCATTCCACTATACTTGCTACTTTCATTTTCTTCATGTCTTGCATTCAAAAATTATCTGATGTAGTTGGATATGTTGACCAAGTCAACCATAATTGGGTGAATATATCATTTTTCTATGCCAAAATGAGCCACTAAGCTGAACTCATAAGCTTGAGCTTGCCGATTATGTGGCCAAATTTCACCGTTTAAGCTGTCAAACTAAAACTTTTATTATTCAGGCGGGAATAAATTTATATTTATTTATTTATTTTCTTGTATTAATTATTAAAAATTTGTTTAGATTAATTTCCTAGAATTTGTCTTTGTCTTTGGGAGTTTTTTCAATTCCTCCAATGATATCAATGAATATTCGATGACCGAATTCTTGGTATTCAATGAGTATTTGGAGTGTTAATCATGTTTATGCATATTTCTTTGCATCATTTTCGAGAACAATGATATATACGTCTAGAATAAAATATAATTTGAAGAATATTGTATAATGTATAATAGCTAAAAAATACTACATGCATAAAAAAGTTACATTCTTAGTTACATTTAAAATTAAAAAGCCAAATTCTATCTTCACGTCATAACATAATCTTAAATGTCATATTCTTTCTTACTTTTTTACTAAAAAACACAGTATATATTCCCTACATTTTGTAAAATAATAAAATTCAATTTTGGGAGTAATTTTCAATCAAGAAAGTCGTAACTTCTAGCAACTTTTAGCGAAGTTTCTTATGCGTCAATCCACTTAACTTAGTTTTAATTTGGCCATTACAATGTTAATCTTTCATTTATTACTAAGTACATCTCCATTAGTCAAAATTTTAACGGAAGATCTTACAGTAAATTAATTTGTCATAATTGTTGGCACCACAGTGTCGTGCTCAAACTCTACCATGCAACAATCGCCCTTATAGGGTTAAGGCTTAATCCAGATGTTAAAAGTAATATGAAATGAAAAACACACAAAAAAATAGTTTTGTAGTAGTAAAAGAAGGAGAAAAGTTTACAATGCCGATTAAATTTTTTTATTTTGAAATCTAAACATGTCTGCTTGGCAAAACCGAATAGTATTAATGCAGTCTGATTATAAAATATGAATTTACTTGCAATATAATATAAAGAAACTACAATTAAAAAAAAAAAAAAATATATATATATATATATATATAAATACATTATGTACAAGTGGAGAGAAAATGGAAGGTTCCTATTAACTCAAATCTACCAGATCAGCCAGCTCAAGAACCACCACAGAAATTGATGCTAATTGTGAGAAATTTGTGGTGATTCCTTGAGCCGGCTGATCTGGTAAATTTGTGTTAATGGTTCCGATGGTCTTGAATATATACGTAGGACTAGGAGGAAAAAAAAAGTGCATCAAAGAGAAAAATGAAAGGGACATACTGAAAAATTATCTTAAAGTATTAAAAGTAATTTTTTTTGGGGAAAATTGTGTTGTTATATGATAGTTGAAACGTGAAGCATGAAACCATTTTATTTTTTTTTTTCATTGAAATAAAACTATAGGAATTTAACAACATTATAGATACTTAGAGACACGTTGATTGAGACAGTGATTTACTGAGTCAAACGTGAGCAACTGGTTCAAACATTTATTTATTTTGCAAGTGCCTTGACTTGGATGATGGTCGACTAGATCTAGAAACTATGAGAAGAAATTCTCATTCTTTTTTCTTGATTTTTTTTTTTTTCAAATTCCTTTATGTAGTGTAGGACTTTAGAACATCATCGATGCTAATGTAAATTGTTTTAAATAAATTACTACATAAGAAAAACAAACAATGTTTTAGAAAAACATCTCGAATGGTACGTGACATGATTTTGTCAATTTGATGTAGCAAAAAAATAGATATTGTTTAGAGGTCCTAAATTCAGATAACTTTTTAGACATGTTTACTCGACAATTTATTTAATTTTATTTATGTTCTTAGAACAGTAGTATTAAATTGTAGATAGAAACCATTGGAAATCAATTTCAGTATTATTGATTGTCTATTTAATAAATATAAGTGTCGTGTAGACTGCAAATCTTTCAACTTGTCAACCACGTAAATTGTAATTCTTATAATGAGAATGATCTACCAATTGATGGATTTGAAATATTGCTATTGCTTAATATAAGCTAAGTAGTCGTACTTCATATAATGTATTTCAGATGTTCGTATGGTGATTTAATGAATGCCTAATATATTATTTCAAATCAAATCGATCAATCACTGAGGGAACAAATGAACCGAATAAAAAATTAGGACCCCTATGCTCATACCCAACCAAAATTCTATTGTCCAAAACTTTTAGAGAAATTCTCTAAAAGACATAGAGATTGCTGTAACTCATATAACTAGAAGTAATGACAGCAGAATCTAAGCAAGAACTGACTAAAAAGAAAAAGGGTTTTCTCCGATGACAAAATACCCTGATTGACAAGAGTTAAGTACAATACGGCGATAGAAACCTTTGGAATGGTGCTAACAACATGATAAACTCTCCATTTCCAACCGAAAATGGCAGACAAATTTCAGGAGTAGATATTATAAAGGGAATAAAACGTTGAAATTTGAAGTGGTGATGCTTTTTTTCCCTTCAATTCTTGGTTTGCAGTACAATGGTTTTTAGCCTAAATGGTAACTTTAAAGGGGAAATATAAGATACAGTCATTTTATTTGGAAAAAGGAAAGGGGTCGAGGATAAAAGCATGTCCAACATTGCCTAGGTATAATTCAGATGAGCAATCTATAACGTGAATGCAAACCTCGTATTCTGTTGATTTTATAGTGATAAGTTAGGTCAATGAAATTTGTTGATGTCAAATATTGGCATGATAATCTGTGATAAACTTTCACGATTTTTAACTAAATAAGAGTGTTATAACGTTGGTCTGTAACAATTGTCCGGTTCGACCTTTTCCTTTCGTAGATCCTTCACCCCTATATAGGCAGGTGAACTAAAACTAGTCGCCTTAATAATGTCAAGTTATAGTATTCCAATCAAGTAATTCGTGCAATTGCACGTTGGATGAAATTAGATTGGTCGGTCAGATCGGCTATGACAGAGTCATGATGATGCTCAGGCCTGTAACTTAAGCTGACCTGTAACTTAAACTGTCCTGTTACCCTCTTGATTGGTTGGTCTAGATTGTCAACAGAAATCAAAGAGTTCTTCTATTGTGTCATAACTAATGCTTCTTTAAGATGTCTCCCATAATTCGATTCCGACCTCCATCACTTGGGTGCTGGCCCAAGGCGTCGAGCTGAACTGACTATTTGAAATGAAAATAAATGAAAGAGGCAACTAAGAAAATGATGCAACAGGCAAAATTAAGGCAAAAATATCCCAGAAATAGATGATAGAATATCTTGAGAATTTCTTTAATGAAGTGTGATGATTTCATCGTGTTAGCGCATCTATCTTAACTTGTAGAAACTTTGAATTAAAAGGGATCTAATCCCCACCAGCTGGGTAGAATTTCCCAAGTAATCCACTTGCTTATCTTGATATTGTAGAAGGCTAGAAAATGACTTTTCAAGAATTCAACAAAAAGCTTGTCCCTTATTCATCTTCACTTTGCCCCATGTTGTGACCCCTAAGCATACGAATCACATCTTTTATATGTAACCTCTTGCAAAAGATATATATATATATATTCGTCAACTTGCACTCTCCCATTGCCATCAACTTTTCTTCTCTATATAAGCAACCTTATGTTGAAATTTCTAACCAAAACACCTTCGACTTGACTTGTATTTCTCCCTTGACTGAGGCAACTCTTCTATTCCCCCTTCAACCAAAAACTTCCTTTCCTTTTCATTTAGGTTCACTTTCAAGCTTGTGTCTTATCTCCTAGACGACTATATCTTTCTTTTCTTATGGCATCATCCTCTCGTTCATCTACACGAAGCTCCTCATGGACACATAAACAAAACAAGAAATTCGAGGAGGCTTTAGCACGATATGACAAGGACACACCAGACCGCTGGAACAACATAGCACGGGCAGTAGGCGAGAAATCAGCGGACGAAGTGAGGAGGCATTATGAGGCCCTAGTCAAGGACATCATGCAGATAGAAACTGATCAAGTACCAATACCTAATTACAGCTCTATTCCAAACAATGGGAGAGGATATGGCAATAACAGAGGTATTGTACCCTACTTCCACCCGCCACATGCAAGGCAAACTAATTTTCTCTTCATTGTCCATTGAATTAAACTGGATTCTTAACCTATCCAAATTCCAAATCGAGTAAACACGAGCATGGAGGGATAAAAGAAACTTCTATATTGATAAAAATATTTTCTTCTCCTTTTTTTCCTTGGAGAGAATACATTTTAAGACTTCATGCACTCTATTACTTGTCATGATACTATAATATTAAGTATAATCTATTCATATTCCTAAAAGAGATCACATGAATTTTAATCCTACTTGTCTTAGATCATAGCACATGGTCTAAGTTCAGGCCGCCTCATTATTCCTAAAAACATGATGATTTATTTTTCTTTTGTTGGCAAGGTTCTTTACGTGACGATTCTCTCTTCTTCTTTTTTTCCTTTTTTTTTTTTTTTTTTAATGAAATCCTCACCTTCATCAATCCCCAGCCTCAAAATCTGTACTTGGATAATAAAAGTATATTCTTTTGTGCCAATAGTTATTATTTCTACCAGAATAAAGTTAACTCAAAGTTTCTGAAAAAGAATTGTTCGTTTAGAATGACATCAAGATAATCTTTCACATCAGGAATTCTTGCTAAACCGTATCCAGTTATTTATATTTTGGTACAACACTGATAAAAATAACCATAAAATGTTAGCTCGTGTTTCAATCTGCTAAAACCGGGATGTGCCTACTCAAATAAGCAAAAACAAGACTTACTTATCGCACATAGAAAATGAGACATGATTTATTTTTTATACATTGGCATCTTTGAAAGCCTTTTCTATCTATACCGTTCATCAAAATTTGATCTTTAGGAATAATCTAACTTATGCAAACTGGATATGTATTCAATATTCATTCTCATTTTTTCGCACATTCATTTCTGTAAACAGGCTACTGAAGAATCTTAAACTACCCTGAAAAGCCCTGTCTGGAACTAATAATCCATTACCATCAGAAGTTCTGCAAAAGCAAACGGCATCGAGAGAAAGTTGTGTATTCCTAAATCTTTCAAAGCAAATAAGAAAGCTCTATGTAAAGGTTGGTTAAGTTGTAACGTACTATGATGTTAAAAAATGTACAATCTGCTTTATGTTTTTGTCTATGCAGTCTCATAGAATCATTCTCAGAATGGTTAATATGTAATTTGCTTCAATGAAAATTGAGAACTCCAATTTAATAATGCAAAGAAGGAATTTAAGCAAAAAATAAAGCTTTATAGTAATCTAGTATCCGTACTAAATAGAAATTAGTATATATGAACCAAAAAAATCTCTAAATACTTTATTCAAATTAATTTTTCTCTTGATATTGTCACTCAATCACCTCATCTCGAAGCTGTAAGACTTCAACTCTCAACACCACTTATTTATGACTCGGTTTATGGGTTTTCGGGATCTGCCACTAGGAATAAATCAGGCCCATCCATCATTCCAATTTCGACCTTGAATTAATGAATGCCATCCATCAAACTGAGAAGAGGGCAAAGGTAGTGATATGAATAAGAGAAGGGATAAAATTGAGTTCCACATGTCATATGACCTGAACAATCCAAGATTTAGAGTAGGGTCGAGAAAATCAATCTCATATAGAAGAGCTAAAACTCCGGAATTTTTGTGCCATTATTGCTTATTAAGCCCCTATTTGGTGTAGCTAAAAATCAGGTTTTTAGTAGATTTTGATTAAAAGTTGATAAAATACTCGATTGAAAAGTTGATAAAAATTGTCACTGCAACAAAATTAGCATTTTATGACATTCGCTTACGAAGTGCAAATAAGGCATATGCCATAAAAAGAGACTATTTACAGCATGTCATAAATGTATACCGTAAATGATCAATTACTTAAAGTATTTATGGCATACATTTTGGGCATGCCGTAGAAGTTCAATGTGTAATTCTCAAGCATGACATATAGATTGATAGAAAAATATTTGCAGTAAAAATTTTAAATGGATATTTAATGGCATGCTTTTCCTTTTCAAAAAATGAGAGTATTTACTGCATGACTTTATATGGTATTCACATGTACACCGTACAGAACTTTTTATGGCATGCATTAGAACTTTTAACAGCATTTAATATATGCATAAAAAGTAAACTTTGTTGTAGTAATATTTGTTTGTACAATTGTTTACAAACAATTGCCAAACGCTTGATTAAATTAACTTGCTTGAGACTCGTTGATTTCCTAGGTACATAATGATTTGATCAATCTACAAAGTAATTTTTTGACATGTTTGATTAAGCTCGAAACAGGAATCTAGACATAAATTTGGATATGGAATAAAAATATACTGCTATTTTTTATGTGATCGGTATGTGATGTTTCATTGTTTTAAATGAGCTTTTGCTTAGAAGTAACTTTCATAGATACATATGAAGTTCGTAAGTAGAAATATATATGTTCGACTCTACTTAAGAAATATTCTCATATAATTAATCAATATCGGTCACCATCACAATTGAATATCTCGATTACGGTGTTATTTGAATAAAAAAGGATAAGTATTGGTGAAGTTGAAGTACTAGTGCTTAAATTCATCCAAGTTTGTCCAAACAAATTATTTGCTTATTTTATTTAAGTTAGTTAACAATAGGTTCAATTGACTCCATCACTAGATATAAATTTTTGTATATGGATCTCATGAAAGTGTGATTAAAATTAAAAGTTGACTTTAACTTGAATTTTTATTAACTGTTTTATTTAAATCAAATATGGGCTAAATAACAATGAGGAGCCTTCATAACAACAACGACAACGATGTCAACGACAATGGAAGAGAGAAAAAAAAATTAAGGTTTAGAAAAATGTAGAAATGCGGGCTATCCATCCCCGTACCTCTAGCATGCGAAACAAGCGCTCTACCATTTGAGCTGCAGCCCCATGTTTGCTCAATTTCTTAATATATACTTAACAAATGAAGTCATGGTACCATATAACAAGGATAAGCTGCATATACGTTGACATCAATTCTTTTATAAAGAAAATGCTGCATGTATTACCAAATAAATCATTAAATGAATGTAATAGAGACCATGATCAATCAATTTTGTATAAATATATATTGGAAATTTGAGCTATTTTTCTTATGTAATTATTAACAAAATTTTCTTGAAAATCTTTTAAAAGTTATACATTCTGAAAATGTAGAATTCATTCTCGTAAAAATAATTTTACTTGCTTCCCTCTATTTCATGTCAAAAGAATTAGCCTAATCAATGCCAATATTATTTTCCCTTCTTGCACATGATACAAACAAGTTAAAAATGGAATAAAAAACTAACTTCAATTTTATATACTCCAAACTTACAATTTCATCTCAAATTCATCAGCTATGTTAAAAATAATTACGTCGTATCATATGTGCAGCTGATCTGTACCCTTCCCAGTCGTTACTCTTCCTCATAGGTGACGGTGTTGAAGAATACGAGATGAAATTGTAAATTTAGCAACTAAATTGAATCGATTGGAAGTTGAGGAGGGACTACATTTAAATCGTACTGCCGTGATCTTGCACATATACACAAGTGAAAAATGAAATCTAACTTGAGGCTAAATAATATGTATGTCAGTATGTCGTATGGCCAATGATCTCTCTATTGTGTTTTTATATTGATGCTTAATTAGACGCTTATACATATTAGTATGGACTTTCTTGCCAACTTACTCTTCAATGAATCTTCATATAAATCAGTGCTTATAAAACTCTAACTTGGACTATTGCATTAACTACTAGATCCCTCTAAGCCCATTCAAATGAGATCCCATGATACTGAACTGATCTTACGTGGGATTGCAAATCCCAAGTTTGTCTATTATTTATTGCCAGGTAGAGATAAATTCTATATGGTAGCGGCAGGAAATTCGTTTGCGTTGAATCAAGATATTCAGGAAGCCGTACATACGACTTTCATTGAATACGGCTTTCGGCGGAATTCTATATGTATCCTTGAGATCGAGCATAGAATTCTGTTTAACCTGTAAACCGTTATCAAATTATAGTAGAACAACCAAGTGATACTTTCAATGAGACTTCGCCTTTAGTCCGGTTTCAAATTTGGGTGAAAATAATGGCTAACAAGCGTAGTTTGCAATCAATAAGGTGAGAGAACTAGTTCTTTGAACCTAGCTACTGCCCCTTGGTTGTCTAGATGTTGGATCGTGAGACAAGTTAAAGATTAATAATATGCATAAATCGTTCCTCACTAGAGCAAGAGAAGTTATCAGAAAAAATGTGATAATCACTAAAACATGTCCCAGTTTAAATTTGTTGGTACTTACCAAGATGTGAAGCAAAATCCAGCTTTACAAAATTAGACATGTTAAAATCATGTGACAATTTAATATATTTTAATAGTTTCCGGGTTGAGACATTGTGGTAGGGCCAACTTGACTCTAGAGCCAGAGGTTGGCAGCCCATGGTGCTACACTACTTCTTTAAAGAAGTAGAGTAGCACCGCCCTCGAGGCATAGTTCAGTGGTATAAAAGACAAGAGTGAGGTTATCTCACGCCTTGCTGGCAGTCACAGTGTGGAGGTTCGATTCCTGAAACATGGAATTGGACTCCTTGTAAGCGCAGTGTACAGGCAGATCTTATTCCCTGGCCTGTTGAGGCACATTCCGCGATTTACCTTCCTCACAAAGCTCTAGGGACGGGACAATGAGAACCCTCAAAGTTGGGGTTCAACCATTTTTTTTTTTAAAGAACTAGCTCCTTTGACTCATTGAAATTATGAGATCCATTCAAGATTTAAATAGAATTTTCTTAACATTGATAGTCATTGAGTACTCTAGTAACTCTACTAAACACATGATGCCTAAAGTACTCCTTTTGCTCTATAGGATGGAAAATCTAGCTAGAGCCTTCAAAACTACTAGAATCTTTATCTTTATTTTCAATGGAGTTGTTTTAAAAAAAATTCTTAGGAAATTTGAATTGACCTCCCCAACCTTCAAAAGTGGTTAATAGTTATTGTTTCCAACCTATTTAATTTATGAATTTGGATCTCCACTTAATCAAAACTACCAATGTAAATAATAAAATCCTGTGGGACTTTCTTGTGACTTCAAAGTTGGATGGTAAAAGTATCAAACTACTTAACGTTTAATTAAAAATTGTGTACAATTTAGCGCTTGTTTGATAGAGATTTTGTTAATTAATTTTTTGACCGTTGGAGATAAAGTGTGTTTTACCTGTGAGAGAAGAATTCAAAAATGACGGTTGGAATAGTGAAATAACAGTCAAAAATTTGATTTTAATTGGATTTTAAGTTATACCAAATATGCTGTTAACATCAATACTAACAATTTGTTCATGCGAGAACATAAGTTCTCATATTTAAATAGATGAAGTATCCTGAACCTCATTTTTAAAGGTCAGGGAGTTCAATCCCAAATTATCCTCTCTCTTTTTCAGAGCTAGTATTTATCAAAGTAATTTAGCCTCCATAGAATTGACAGTAATAATTGGCAGAAAAGACTGATATGACTAAACAGTCTCCCTAACATTTGGAGCAGTTACCAACATGAAAAGTAGGAGGTTAAATGTGCAGTGCAGAATCCCCATAATCAGCAAGAAAAAGATGGCACAAAACATGAAGATGAAAGGATAAAAATCCCTATACATGAAAACGAAATAAAAGTGATAATAAATAGTAATTAATAGATTCAAGAAACATATATATGGAAAGCTAAGTTTTCGACTATGCAAGCCCCATTGATTTATGTGGAATTTAATCATATTATCAGTAACTATGTGAGTCTAATCATACTATAATATAATAAACTATTCCAGTCTTTTATATTATTGTCATACTGAAGAATCCATGTAAATGCAACAACTTTGTAAAGAGTACAAAACAATGTACTGATTTCAGCACATAATCCTACATATGATAATGGTCTAGATGAGTTTTTCAATATATATATATATAGTCGTATTGAATCGTCAAACATGTTTGAACCTTTCGAAATGAATTTCAATTTTGGGGAGCATTTGCAAAACTCGTCGTCGAGAATAGATGGAGTTTTCCACATTTCAATCGGAGACTTCAACAAATGTTATTAAGAAGAATTTGACTGAAAAAATAACAAAAAAAAAAAGACATTCCCCATTGCTTCAAAGAATGC